CGCCGCTGCCGCTCGCCGCCGAGGCCGCGCTGCGGCCCTGGGGGCCGCGGAACCCGCTAGTGGCCTCGTCGTCGCTGGCGGCGGCAGCGTCGAGCTCGTCGTCGCTGTCGGGGACGCGGAAGGAGACTGAAAGGCTCCGCGCGGGGCCGCCGCCGCTGGCGGCAGTGCCATGGGCGCCGCCATGCTGCCGCTGCTGTTCCCCAGGATCTATGATGAGGGATTGTCGGAATGCGTTGTATCGATCGCGGCACATTTGAAACCTCGGCAGGCGCGCTGCCATGTGCGGCGATTGCGCACATCACCCCCTGCCCCGCCGCACCTGGGGGAACGCCATAGCTGCTGCCAGGTGTCTGCGACCGCTGCCGAGTCTGTGAGAATGCTTTTCTCTCGACGGTTTGCGGAAGCTTTCCTATAGGTGAATCAAACACAGGCTGCCGGATCGGGAGTGACAGCAGCTCTCCGTCCTCGTCTAATCGCGACCGCCACATACTTGCAAGCCAAATTACACTTTGATCCTATGCTGTGATGGCAGCTACATACATGTTCGTGGGGCCAAGATCTGGCGATATCGCAGCTTAGTACCGTACACAACAGCAGAGTTCTGATGCAGAGTGTGGTGGATGTTATCTGTGTGCAATGTGCAATATATCTGACGCCCTGCACCCCAGCAGCATGTCTTGCCCTGCTGCTGCTTCACCACCATCGCCCCGGCCACCTCCGTGCGGCCTGCGGCACTGGTCCACCCTGCTGCTATTCAGCAAACCAAAATCTCTGTCTTGCAGAGCATCATGGCATTATGCTGAGAAGTTAAGTGGGGCCCAAATTGTTCGGTAGTTGCAGTTGTGCTGTCAGTGCAGCGTGCTGCCTCCCACAGCATGCCATCCAGACGTGAAACTTGCCCCTCCACAGCTAGCGATTGCGTGATCATTCGCTGTCAGTGTCGTCGTCATCGCTGCCCATGGCATCGTCAATCTGCGGGAGGGCGGCGGCGATGATGGCTGTGGTGATGGCCGTAGTGGTGGCACCGCTGTGGAAGTTTTGCTAGTGACGGTCCCTGGTGTTGGCCTGAGGACCCGACACAGTCTCAAGCGTCTCAGCTTCTGCGACCCTGCCCCGCAACTGCCTCCCCATGAAGCAGGGCGTCCTGCCGCGTCTTGTCATGCTTATATTTGGCCTACTCACCAGCCCCTCCCCAATACCGGCAGCCCTGCAGTCCCACCTTCCAGCCCTCTGCCATGAGCTCCACTCGAACGTATGTCACAGCATCCCCCTCCTTCACCCCCGCCTCCTCCAAGGCCTCCCCCTCCCCAAGCAGCCGCCCATTGAGTAAGCAGCGGTCCCAGGGGCCCGAGAAGCCCTCCAGCCGCAGCAGCTTGCCGGCCGGCCGCCAGCCGAGGCGCTCGGCAGCGGCGCGTGCGAGATCGGCGGCGGTTGCGCCGGCTGGGAGCTCCAGATCTGTCAGGGGGTCGAGGACCTGGTGGAAACGTGTCACAATTACGAGAGGCCGGCTACCTGTCACTTTACATATGTGCACCAAGCCAGCCGCCAAGGATGGAGGAGCTGCAGCTTGAAACGAGCCAGGGCCCGACGCTGGACGTGTGCAGGGATGCATGCGAAGGCTCAGGCACACTGCATTAGACCGCGTACGTCTTGGGCGCGTCAGGAGCCTGCATGACCAGGCGCGCACCTGAGTCTTGGTGTCCATCGACTCTTTCCAGTAAAGACTCCATGACTCCACCTGCAGGCGAGGCTGGACCGTAATACGCATGTTGGCTCCACCTGGAGAGTGGGTTGGTTGCACACCGATCGTCCTTGAAGTAACCCAGCCTTGGCTGAAGATTCAAGTATTTGGCGTGGTACTTGGTAGTGTCTCGTCGCTTGATAATCAGCACCGAGTCGAGTTCGTCTGGGCCGAGGCGCGACCAGTCTGTAACGGTAATTGTCACAACGAGACTAAGGGTATGCAGCCATTTATAAAAGTAAGTGTATCATCGCGTGCATGGGATCGACAAGGCACGGTTGTAGCACCACACATCTGTTGAGTACTGCTGCGCGGGCTGCGGTGGCCGCCCTCCGGGTGCCCTGGCCCAGCTCTGCCCTAAGCTGGACAGCTACAGATTGGGGAGCAGGGGGACGCAAAGGACAATGCATGTGTTTTACAACGTTCTGATAGGGGAGCAGGATCAGTGGGGGAAGCCTGGCGAGGGCACATGTTGGGTCAGGCTGCGGGGGACGCTTGCAGTCCATACGTTGTTGTCAGTCAGATTCAGCCAGTGAGTTCACAAAATGCAGAGATAACTTGGATCTTTGACATATCCCAGATTGCTGCACATGTGTGCTAGTGTTGATCATCAATGAGCATTCAAAACGAGTGATATAGACGCAAGCGAGCACGGACATGCCACACAATCTGACTGCTGCCAATAAGCTTGATGCAGGAAGCTGTGTCGGCTGCCCACAGGAGTGCGAGCACAACAGAAAGTGATGGAATGATGGATGAAAAACAAATGCAACAGTGGCACCATCCTGCCAGCCCCACATGGTTGCAGGCGCCATGCGTGACAAACTCCCCCATGCCATTACACAATTGCAGAGCACGGTAGCGGCCTGCGAGCGTTGGCGCTCCGAGCCTCTGGAAGTGGCTGCACAGCTGCAGATCCCGCTCTCAGCTTGCGCCAAAGCTCGTAAATTGTAATCTCACCCATTCCCGGGGCGCAATAGTGAATGCAGTCCACCGAGGTCGTGCCCTGCATCATGTCGTGGTTTTCGTGAAGGGGGATAGAGGCGGCGTATGTTGGCAGGATGGGGATGCCGAAGCGCGGGAGGATGTCGCGGGCCGGCGCGTTGACCACGCCGCCACGGACGGTTGCAGCGGCGAAGGCGGAGCGCTTGCTGGGGTCGACAGCCAGGGTGCCTGTCGCGTAGTCGAACAGCCAGCCTGGTTTGAGGGTGACCATTCAACGGTTGAGGAGGGCGGGGGTGGGGGGGGGCAAGGCATTGTGTTAAGCCCAATGTCATGGCCAACAAGTGGGTGGTCTGCCACTTGCTGGTGCAAATGCCAGCGCTGGTGCAAGTGCAAGCCTATGAAAACTGTCTGCACAGGCGAGCCTGTAGCCCAGCGGCTTGCACACCGTTTGAAAGACGACCCATCAAGGTAGCGCAGTCGGCACCCATTGGGTCCATCGCCTGGCCCGCTCGCAGGTATGCAAGGAGTCACATTCCCCCACAGCTTGCCTTGCTGCGCGGGCTTGCAGGTTTTGTGCTGCGTGTCTTGATCGTGAGACGCAGGCGTCTCGCGGAAGATGACGTGAGGAAATTTGCCCTTGTTGCGCTGGGGCGGCGGGACGGAGGAGAGAGGGCAACCTTGGTGCAAATTCCAACCTGGCAGTAGGCCCCATTACTCCTGCTGGTGCGCAAGCGGCATCTGAGTGCCTCGGTGACGTCATTGCCAGCTGCTACGTGAGGCTCGCTTGCATGAAGTGCTTCTGCTGCTGCTGCTACTGCTGCTGCTGCTGCTGTTGCTGTTGCTGCTGCTGCTGCTGCTGCTGCTGCTGCTGCTGCTTGCACACAACTCTGATCGGCACGCGTCCATGCGCCAGTATTGTGTACAGCGGCCAATGACACCCGCTCGCGTGCGCACCAGGTAGTCAAAGCCCAGCTTGACCAGAGCGCGCTTCAGCGCTGCAGAGCCGACAGCGATGCCCGCCTTCAAGTCCCACAGGCCAAACCTGTGAAGTAGCACAAGCATACGACATGGTTTTCGATGCGGCAGCCTTCGCACCCGCCAACACAAAGCTGTGGACAGCAACCGCCAATCAACACAGCCCGTTTGGCATCAGGTGGTGCTTCAGCCAGCCGCTTCACGCCACGGCAACCCACTGCAGCAGGAAGATGTCTTCTGGGCTGGCAAACTTGCTGCGCAGCAGCTGAAGCACGCCACCTTCTGCAACCTGGTTGGCAGAGACAGGGTGCAAGAGTTGTGTGAGAGTCAGCAGTGGCTCTCGCAATTAACCTACCCTCTCAATCACTCCAGCCGTACCACTCGGGGCCGTCACTGTTGTGGTGGCACCACAACAGGGTCCTGCTGTCATGTCATTCGCTCATGACATTCGAGCCCCGGCGCGCCTTGGGGCTTTCGACGAGGGTGGAGCCGAGCACGGTGACCACCCTGCAGATGCGCGTATCCTGGGGAAGGTGGATGCACCTTGACTCGCCGTGAGCGGTGGGCAGGGCATCCAGCTGCTGCATCAGGACGGCCTCGGGGCTGGCCGCGCACTCCTTGCCCTCCCAGAAATCTAACATGAAGCACTGCAACGACTTGTAAAGACTCTTGGTGTGGGAGTCGCTGCGGGTGGTGGGAAGAACATGTCAACAACGTCTTGTTTGGCTGGTGCAAAGCCAACCCCCCGCAACACCTTCAGGCTAGACCCCTCTTCTGCAGACTTATTTTCCTAGAGGTTGTGCATGTAAGCCTACCCAAGAAGCCAGAGCGTGCGTCCACGCAGGTACGGCCAGAGGTCGCATGGCGACAGCTCAAGTGCGCCGCCGTCACGCAGCTTCCGCGCCATGTCGAGAGCTGCGACCCGCTGTTTGGCGTTGCAGATGCCAAATCTATTTGAATCTAGCGACATCTTGCACTGCTGTACCCTGTGGTTTGATTGGCACGAGCAGCACTCTCAGGCAGCACCTTGCACGAGTTGAGGTGGCATGCTGCGGGTGCTGCTGAGCAGTTTTACGAGCAGAAAATGTGAGGCCTGATTGCATGCAGAAGGTCACAATCGCGGTAATCAGCAGAGAAGACGTTGGATGGGTCAAAGCGGACTGGTAGAGATCCCTTGCATTTACCAATGGCCGGTGCGCTGGCACGGCTCGCCCGCCGCAGTCTGGCAAGCGGCCATGTTGACGACTCCACCCATCAAGAGGCCTGGCCCGCCCGTCTGAGTGACTGTGTACGTTACTGGACATGAAGCAGCGCACGCTCCAACAACAAGCGCTGCCAGAAAGAATACTGGGGCGAAACCCAACGACATGGACCACGCGATCTGCAGCAAAATCAGATCAGACTCCGAAACCCTCAAGGTGAAAGATCTTTGGCATCTAAATATACACGTGCAGCAAGGTGTGGCGTCGATACGGTACCATATGTCGACAAGATCTTGAAGGGCGGTTTGTAACCAAGGCCGCCCATGCGCGCATGCAGTAAGTAATAGTGATTGTAGAAGATTTAAATTTATATGCTTCAAAAATCAAGACAATTCCGTGCTGGTCATCAGCAGCTGCTGTCATCAGCAGGTGCTGTCAAGCCACTGAGCCCTCACCGCATGACCAGAACCCCACCCCCTCCAAGGGGCCCCGTACGCCTCAACGCGCCTCCACGCACCGAGTTTATCTTCCGGCCGCCTCAAGTGTTAGAACTTTGCACAAGGGCTGATAGTCGGCAGACTGTTGCGTTACTTGCATTGGCGGAGGCAGTCAGGTGTCAACTTCCACAGCTGACAGGAGAGTAAGGAAGAAAGGTCAAAGCCCAACACATCTGCGCAAGCGCCTGCACAAAAACCGGAACAAAAGCAAGCTCCCGGTGCCACTGCAGCCGCTGCGACTCCGCTCGAAGCCCGCTAGCGCTTGCGCTCCCGCTTCCACCGGAACACCGCCGGCGCGTCGGCCGTCGCGCTCGACAGCTTGCGCTTGCGCCCGCGGCCCGTCATCACCGCCTTCTCAGCGTCCATCTTCTGCGCCAGCTTGTCGAGCGATGCGTGGCGCTCCACGCGCTGCGCCAGCTCCTTGTACGCTGCGTGCTTGCGCCTGGCAGGGACCGGCCGGCAGGGGAGGGAGGGGCGGCGCAACGGTCGGTGGTGCGCATTGCCAAGCGGCCGGGCTGCCGCCCTCAGCGGCATGGGTCGCCGCCAGTCGGCCCCAGACCATGTCGCTCCTAGCTGTCTGCAGCAACGCCCCCATTTCCCTGCCTTACGGACCGCTGGCTGCGCCCTCCCCCCGCCCGTCCACCCTCCTCTCCCCGCGCCCACCTCTCCATCTTGGCCGCCGCCTTGGTGTCGGGCTCACTGACCGCCGCCGCGCTCTCGAGCTGCGCGCGCCGCGGGCGGTTGTACGAACGGTCCAGCAGCTCCCTCGGGCAGTCAAAGAACTCCTCTGGGTCAAACTCCCGCGCCTCCTTGCCGCTGTCGAGGAAGACCTTGTGCTTCGACTGGCGTGGCGCGCCGATGAAGTGCAGCTGCTCCTTAAGCTTCGCGATCTTCTACTTGAGAGGACGGCACAGATAGAAGCGGCGGTTTGAGGGGTGATGAAGCAGCAGTTGAAAAGAAGGAGTGGCTGGTTGACAAAACAGTCAAGTGAGGGATACGGATCAAGCACAGCCATGGGAGTGCAGCCGGCACAAACCACCATCGCAAGAACGCACTGCGGAGCTGCACTTTCCCGCCTCATCCCTCCCTCCCTCCCTCCCAAAACAGAGCCGCCGCGTTGCCGTGGCCCTCGTCAACGCGTTGACTTCCAACCCCCTGCCCCCGCCACCGCCCCAAAGCTGCCCGCCCCACCTTCGCCTCGGCCGTGGCCTTGGCCCGCAGGTAGGCCACGTCCTGCGTTTTCATCAGCGCCAGCTCGCTCTGGCTGTACTTGTTCGCCTCCGCCGTCGGGGTCACGTGCACGCCGTCCTTCGTGCGCGCCGACTCCATCGCAAAGTAGAACTCATCCGGGTTGCGCTCCTCCGCCTTGCGCTGCAGCGCCTGCGCTCGCGGGAGGGGCGGGTGCGGGCGCGCGTGCGTGCGGTGAGTGGGAGGGCCATGAGTGCAGCGCAAGCCGCACATGCAGGGGACTGGCTTGAGTGCTGGCATGTCTGCGGGGATCCACAACTTCCATGCTGTGCCGCTCGCAGAGCCGAACAATACATTGTCGTTGCAGCCCGCGGTGCCCCAGTGGCCTCCGCTGCCCGGCGGACTGACTTCCACGACTCCGCCCCTGTGCCTTGTCCACAAACAGTGGACCTGATCTGCAGCTTGTTCAGAGACCCTTTGTGATTTGGGGGGGGGGTCATCCAGAGCAACGCATGTGCTGCTGCTGCGCCTGCTGCTGCTGCTGCGCCTGCTGCTGCTGCTGCGCCTGCTGCTGCTGCTGCTCACCTTGATGGCCTTCTCCTTGCGGTGGAAGTCGCGGGCACGTTCCTTGTAGTCCTTCTTCTTCTCAAGGAGCCCGAATTTCGAACGGGCGGCTCTGCACACGCGGCGAATGGGCACACAGCAAGCGAATGGGGCACAGTGACTAGGGCACGGTCAAGAGCAGCAGGCCATGCACCCTGGGGGTGCGCGAAGCTTCAGCTGCGGTAACAAACACATCCACAAATTTCACGCAACACTGCAATCCATACACATGTCGGCATGCATGAACAGCGTGCGGGGGATGTCAAGAACAGAGCAGCGACGGCGGCCGCAGCGACGCATCCCATCTTGTGCGTCCAACAAGGCCCTGGGCTTGCTCACGGCTGCCCTCTCTCTTTGTGTGTTTTTCGCTTGATGGCGTTGGCAAGAGACCCGCCCCCCATCCTGACGACCTCTCAAGAGTGACACGGTAAAAATGGCAGCGGCGAAGCGGCGATCTCGATTAGCTGTTGGTTAAGAACGAGCTATAAAGAACTCCATACGGGTATGCGATTTGCAGAGCGACAAGCTGCTTCTCTCTTCTGAGGGCTGATGGGTGTGAAAGCCAGCCTATTGCGAGCAGCACTGCGTTGTGCAAGCAGTTGTGCACTGGCAGTGTTGCCTCTCAGTGTTTGATGATACACACTACACACGTGCAGGCCAGAATTATCTGATGGCTGCGCCTTTGTGGGCCTCTCACCTGCTGCAGTAATGTTTGAGCGGTTGCCAACTGCTGCTGTTCCGTTTTCGCGGCCGACAAGCTGCCAGTGTCCTGTGTCCTGAAGCTGGACCTTGCCGGGCCAAGCAGATACACGCGCCTTAAGTATGGACCGCAGCTTCATGCTGGCAGGTGCTGTTGCTCCCGCGCTGTGCCCATACCGGTGTGCTATCTACTCTCGTAACAATGGGGGCTCGCATGTGCCACCAACAGCGGGGTGGCCATATTAGCTGTTGCGGAGCAGGAAACACCAGTCACTCGGTCACACCTGTATTGGCAGCCAATCCACACTTGTTTGGCACATGTGATGCAAGCTGCGGCGCTCTCGCCCGACGCATTGCCAGCACCAAACTGTCCACCTGTGCTCTGCTGATCTGCTGTCATGCTCATGTCGTGCGAGTTTGCATGCGCTCCATCTGTCTGCTGGGGTGACAGCAGAGACACATCCTGCACACACACCGATAGTCACCGCTGTTATCCTGCTAATTTTACGGCACCATGGCGCAGAGCGAGCCCTTCAACTAAGTTCCCACCTGCGAGACGTGATCTTACACTGTGAACGTGGTTGCAGCTCGCAGGCCCGTGCCGTAGTGGGGGCAATCATAAGCTCGACAGCATCTCAGCGTGTCGCTTGGGCGTGGCAGGGGCGCTCAGCGGCTCGCAGCGCCACTCGCCTCGGGGCGCGGCAGGCGCGCTGGGCAGCGTGTAGCGGCACTCGGCACCGGCAAGGGGCGGAGGGGACGACATGCACGAAGACGCCCCTGAGCACGCCACACCAACGGCGCCTGCCCGCCGGCTGCTGCGGGACTCATTCCCACCCTTGAGTGCGCCGAGCAGAGCGGTCCAAGCAAGCGGCTCTGCGGCTGGACGGGCAGCGCCGGACACCGCCACTCGCGCCACAGCCGTCGCCGCCACGCGCGCGGAAGCCCCCGGCACAGGTGCCGGCGCCACGGAGGAAATGGATGGTGCAGTCAAGCGGCGGCCAGGGCGGCCGGTCAAAGCGTCGGGGGAGTATACAAAAGGTGAGGGCTGCTATGCGTTGTCAGGGCATGCGCATGCGCGGAACATGCCCATGTGCGCACGGTGCACGACTCTGGTGCACGCATGGAGGATGCGTGTGGCACATTCACGCTAATCATTGATGCATGCATGCATGCAGGGTACCTACGAATCAAGCAGTGGCGGCAACGCAGCAAAGACAGCATGGCGGGGTTAGCGTCGGAGGTGCAGCAGAAGCTGGCGCAGGTGCTGTCCCTGTCAGCGCAGAACTACATGCTCAAGGTGCGGTGCACACGCTTGCCGCACGCACAATAGTGAGTATTGATGCACATGCAAAGCAAGGAGGTGTGTACATGTGTGTGTATGTACTGGCGCGTGATGTGTCTTGTGTGTGTGTGTATGTGTGTGTGTGTGTGTGTGTGTGTGTGTGTGTGTGTGTGCACGTGTACGTGCGTGCACTGATGTTTGTTGTAAGTGTTATTGTGTGGGTGTGGTATCAAGCGCACGTGCTATAGCGTACATCTGTTTGGAAGGCAGGTAGGTGAGGGGCGCTGGGAAACTGCAGCGGTCTGGTCCCCGCGAGCACGCTTGCCGCATAGAGCTGTAACAATTCCTCGACCTGACCGCGTAAACTTGAACGCCGCAGATCAGGGAGACTGTGCTGGAGCAGACGATAATCTCCTTAGACAGCTGTGCAGCGCAGGGGGCTCCAGGCGCGCCCCTCAGCAGCAGCCCCGCCAGCAGCGGCCCAGGGCCGGCCTTTGCAGCGGCCGCCACGCCGGGCGCAACCAGCAGCGGCAGCAGCTTCGGCGCCGCCGCCGCCGCCGCAGCCGCCGTGCGGCCCAACAGCGCGGCGGCGACCCCGCCGGCCCAGGAGGAAGTGTCGAGTGCTGCACCGCTGCAGCAGCACCATCCCCCACACCAGCAGGAGCCGCAGCCGCGTTCCCAGGCGTTCCTGCAGCTTGCTGACGCGTTCCGCTCCCTCCATGCCAAGCTGCTCCGCCTCGCGGAGGGCGCTGGCGGGGTGGCGGGCCGCGTGCAGGGCGTAAGTGGCAGCGAGGGCGGCGACGCCACGCGGCCGCTTGCGAGCCCCTTTCCCCAGCAGCATGCGCTCCTACGGTTGTTTATGGCGCTGAGCCCCGAGGAGATGCACACTTTCATATCCACAAACATGGTGTGTGTGCACGCGCGCGCAACCAGTGCATCAGCGTCAGCATTTGCATGCGGGTTGTTGTGCATGTGGGTGCATAATGCGGGCGTTGCTGGCGCTGCCGTGCCTGCTGCTGCTGCTGCTGCTGCTGCTGCTGCTGCTGCCGCCGCCGCCATCAATGCCGCTGCTGTCACTGGACCCAGCCGCCCCAAGCTTGCGCCTCAACGACACCCTGCCAACATCACTGCCATCACCTACAACAGGACTCTGGGGAGGTGGAGAGTGTTCCCAACGAGAAGTGGCGCCAGGTGGCAGCAGCTGTGGAGCTCAGGTGGGGCATCCCAGAGCCAAACTCATCGCATTAGAAGACTGGGCCCCATCCTGAGGCTGCGACGCCTTGCTTTTGGTGTTTTGTCATGTTGCAGCGGGCGGTTCTGTCTGCGGCGCTGCGGTTGGCTGGCCCGCCAAAGCACCAAGGAGGTGCAAGTCATCGCGCAGCGTACCTCGACCCCCCACCAGCAACCTGCCCCCCTTCTCACCCGCAACCTGCCTGTCCTTTGTCTATCATCACCCGGGGCGCCGCGATGGGCCCGCAGCCCTGAGCAAGAGCAGCGCGCCGGCGTCGCGTTCGACAACTTTTTTAGCAACATGGACAGGGTGATGGACGAGCGCCGGGACCTGCAGCGCAGCCTGGCGGACGCGATGCAGAGAGCACAGCACGGCAACGCGGCAGCGGCGGCATCTGCAGAGGGGCCGGCGGCCGACGCGGCAGGGGTGGCGGGCGAGGAGGGGGCCAGCAGAACGGAGGCGGCAGCCGCTGGTGGGGGCACGCAGATCGAGGCGGCGGTTGAGTGTGAGGAGCTGCTGCACTTGCTCAGGAGCAATATGGTGAGTGGTTGGGATTGAGGCACACGCTTTCTAAGTGCACGTAGTTGCGGGTGCATGGTGCTCTGTGTGTGTGTGTGTGTGTGTGTGTGTGTGTGTGTGTGTGTGTGTGTGACTACAGGCGACTCAGGCAGCTGCTAGTACTTGCAGTGGTGCTTGCAGTCGTGTACAGCATTCGCACTCACCTGCATCGCGTGTGTGGTGTCTGGCGACAAATGGGGTTAGGCAGTGTGCGTAAACTTCGTGTGTGCGCGTGCCCCCAGTTCGCCTGTAGCTGCAGAAGGCCCGTTGCAGCCATCAACGGGGCACGCCGCAAAGCAGCCAGAACTCCCCTCGGTCAATTTGGGTGCACAATCGTCGGCCTTGCACTCGTGTGTGTTTGCGTTGGACCCCTCCGAACCATGTAGTGCTGGCGATTTTTGCGCGGTTGGGAACCTCAGGTGCGGGAGGACCAGGTCTGGAATACCATGTCTTGGACCCTCAAGACCATCATCGAGCCAGAGCCGCTGGGGGCCTGCCTGCTGCAGAGCTGGTGCGGCGCCGACCCCATGCGCATTTGTGCCATCCGTTTGTGCCGGCCCGCCGCGTAGAGCTCAGCGCTGCGCTGAGCAGGCTGGCAATACTTTGTCCCTGGCCCGTGGTGATGGTGACATGCTCTGAGTTTATCACTGTCATCTGGCACGCGCGCACGCACACACACACACACACACACACACACACACACACACACACACACACCGTGTGCGCACAAATAGCAAATTTGACACTCAACCCCTTATACAATGCGTTCTTTCTCCGACTACTCCCTGCCTCGCAACTCCTTCAACTCCCTTCTTTCTCGCTCCTTCTTTTCATGACACACAGGCCCTTCTGGCCAAGACTGACGCTGATACTTGCGGCCAAGTTGGGGAGGGACGTTCCTATCAAGGCCCCCCGCCCGCAAACCCTTGCACGCGGCATGGCTGGCGGGCCCACCTCTGGCTGACAGACGCGAGAGCTCTCAGGCCGACTGCCATTGCGCGCTCTGCAGCAATGCGTCTTTGCTGCAGCGCCCCTGCGCACTGCGCGCTGCAAAGGAGGCGTGTGGCAGGCAGGCTCGTTGGGATGTCATATGTCATCCTGTAGCTGCTGGTGCCTGCCGTGAGAGGCGCCCCCTGGGCACAAATTGTTGTCGAGGCCTCTGTACCCTCTTTGCTGCCCCCCCCCTGCAACCCGGGGGCCGGCGCTCATGCGGGCTTGCCGCCTGAACGCACACCACTCCGGCCTTGCAGCTGCACTGACCATGGGCCGGGTACCGTCAGTTTCACGATCGCAGATCTTTTTTCCAAGATGTGTGCCGGGTATGCCACCATGCTATATAATCGACTCGTCGCCTCAAACCTTCTTGCAAGCCATCGTATCTCACAGCAAAGCTCGTGAGTGGCCGCGCGCTGCACGCAGCTGCTCAGCGCAGCGGGTCGGGCCCCGGAAAACGCCGACACTGCTGCGCACGACCCCTAGTTCGTCAACCCTTGCAGCCATTGTTGCGTCCAACACAGCACGCATGGCGCCCGCGCGATTTTATGCCCCCCCTGAGGCATTCATCCGCTCGCGGCGCGGCGGCCGGCTGCCGGGCGCACGCCCACGACTGCGGCGTTGCTACGTTCACACAGTGTGCGCCAGGCACAGTGCCTTCCAACAGTTGCTGTGTGTTGCGTTTCGGTTCTTTTCTTCTCTCAGGGATGCCTTGGAAACAATTCAGGTATCTGGTGATGTGTTGGCGCCATGGGCGCCACCCTGCCCTGTCTGGATTGTCCCCATGGCCCGACCTGGTGCGCGATCGCGTCGGATCCCCGCCATTCACATCGTGTCACTTACGATTGCAAACACGTGCCACACCCATCACATCACCAGCGCTCCGCAGCGCTGCTTATCCCTCCACCCCCGTGCATGGGTTCCCGAGTGCCAGGGCCAATGCTGCTCGTGCGACCAAGAAACCACCATCACTGGCATGATCACACCTTCTGACCGCAACGCACAGCCGCCTCATCACCGCACCCTGCATTTGTTGAGCGACCCACGTGTACTTTTGGCGCTGGAGTTTTTGAGGTTGTTGTCAAACCTTTGTGCACTGCTTTCCCTTAAAGAGTGGGACGTATCAAAGGAAGTGAATTGACAAGTGATTGCGGCTGCGCGGTAAGCTTTGCAGGGCCAGCGGGGCTTGTGATGCGCACATGGGCGGCGCACGATAGGGGCTATGGGTTCAAAGCGTCCTGTCACAGTTGATGAGCGGTGTAACAAACCTGCGAATTGTGGGCGACGCTGCTCACGCAGTGGGGTTGGGGCAGTGCATTGCTGCCCTGCTCCAACAGCAGCAGGCTGTTGAGAGCGGGCAGGAGGGCCCAGCAAGCACTGTTCAGAGCATGACGTTTGCTCTCT